CTAAGATGAAAGAATAATCAGTTATAATGGTGAATAGTTACGAAAATAATGTTCGACAAAATATTAACTTAATTAACGTGACGTGAAATCGATAAAACAGTGATTGATACGTAATATACGTGCGACTTGTTGAATTGTTATTGTGTCCACGATCTAATTTATGCTAATGATGAGTACAGTCGAGATTGTTTAGAGATTTACGGGTAAAATCAACGTTAGCTGACTTACTTAGTCGGTGGATAAAACTGAATAAACAGAAAGTGAACAGATACGCGACTCTTTTTTTGCGAGCATCACTCTCGACGAACTTTCATACATACATACGGTTTATCGATTGGCCGGATGCTAAAACCTACGCTCATATCGGAAATACAAACGTACCAAAATGACATTTATCACGGATTTGGTCACGGATTTGGTGGTTGCTTTCGCTGTTTAAACGTTCGACGGGGCACGTATAAATGACAAGAAATGAAATTATTCGGGTTAATTTAACACGCATCTCCATTTTCTTTTGTAGAATGAAGAGAAATACGTAGTATTATTCACGCTCGATCGAGCAAGCAAAATAATTGTACATAGTTATCTCTGTAAATCATCGTGTTGAACAGAATTATTTGCAAATTAATACGTATAAAATTTAAATATTTGAAAATATAAATTGTATGCGTGTTTTACATTACATTAATAAGAGTTAGATTATACAAATTGTACGTTTGCATTTAATATTTTTAATAAACAATCTTAGGTTTTCTTGTTTCTAATACTTTCTTCTTCATCAAAGTATTCTCAAAAGAGTAAGTCAAAGAACAAAAGAAATGTAAAAATTTATACATAGATATATGTATAGATGTAATTAGCTATATGATATTTTTTATCGATTTTAAAATAAATAATTTCTGAATTATATTTTTTATTTAATCAGTTTAAAATGTTCATCCGCTGTTTTCTAATTTCTTTGCATTATCCTTTATGAAAATATAAAAATAAATAATTCTTTGCTGAGACCCTTAAGAAAATTCAATCTGAACTTGATGAATTATAAATAGAGGATTCAACCTAATTGAATTCTCTAATAACACTGGGACACACTGTTAATCCCAACATCCCGCACATTAATAATGTATCCATTTTTGCAATACGTGTGAAGATGGACAGATTTTTCTACGAAAGTTTAATTTTACATACAGTTTTCCCAGAATGAAAAAAATTTCGTCACTTGTACTACTCGCCCACTGGGATCTTCATTCCCTTTTATACCATTCTCTTTTGTTTTCAATAAAAATTACGGCGCACGATAAAAATTTTTCCACATTTATAAAATATACATGCATTATTAAGGGAGATACAAAAGGTATTTGTTATCTGGGCTAATCACAATAGCAATTATACAAAATATAAATTCAAAGAAAGTGAAAATCTCGAATCATCTCTTCTCGATCGCTTCACAAAAATTCACAGGGAGCGCACCTATTCATTCGCAATGCCCCCCCCCCTCGTCCACGCTTTTACATTCCCAATAACTTCTCTATACATTGTGCAATCAATGTTCATTTCTTTTTATTCTTATTTTTTGTTTTTTTATTTTTTATTTTTTTTTTACATTTAAAAAACGTCGATCGTGTTTTAACGCGCGAGTATTGGATCGAGACGAAAATCAAACGCAAGATTACTGTGTTTTAAAATTAATCAACCTTACAATTAGTTATAAATGAATGAAAAGTGAACGAAAGGAAGGAATGTGAAAATTAGAACGAGTAAGTAGATAGGGAATATAAAATTCCATCAGAATTTCATTTTCATTTATTCCTTCGAAATCAATTTCGTAAATCATTTCTCGTATTGGACGTTGAATATTCCATTAAAGTGGAATTCTGCGAGAATTTTGTTATTAAAAATGTTTGTTAATAATTTTTAAATATTTCTTAGCAGTCGAAATGTTAATAATAAGAGAATTAACGCACAATATGTACATGTATATGCGGATAAATTTTAATTGTGTAAGGTCCGTTTCAATGTCCGTGTAATTTTGTGCGTTTACTACTTATAGTAATGTATTACTAATAATATATAGTTGAGAATCTCTATTATATAGGCACAATTTACAAATTGATTATATTACACAAATGCATTAACTGTAAATTGGCTGCAAACGTGCATCAATCTCGTTTCACTACAACGTTATTATCATTCTAATTGGATGGATTATCATTTCATGCTAAAATATTTTACGTGTTGTGTATTGAATAAAATTTTACTATTGGCGGGCACCGTATATTTTGAACCAAATGGGATGAAAATGAACATCAGACCGTGTATAAAGCGAAGATATTATCAAATTGGTAATTTTAAACCATGTAAGCATTGGATAAATATTCTCGAGAAATTGTACACACGTAAAATTTCTTTAATTATCTTATTATCGACTACATAAAATCTAATTGTAAAAATAATGGCATTCGTTGAAATATTAATTTTGTTAAATTGTTAGTACAAATAATAATAATAACTTTGTTGGTATAAATGATAAAAATTCTATAAATAAATTTAATTTCCAATAATTACATCTTATTTGAAATTGAAAATTGGAAATAAATTAAATTTTCATAACGTGATATGAATTTCAACTTCAGACATATCATAAATTCTTGTTATAATATAAAATTATACACACTTTCAAGGTTGAGAAACTAATAACTTACTTAAAAGTTGTTACATTTGCACATATGAATTTAATGTGCAGTTAATATATCTAGATCAAATCTGTCTCAAATTTGTACTAATATTGTCATTATTAATTATATATTTAATAAATAAATCTAAAATCCTTATGATAATTATATTTGTTTAAAAATTATTGTGTTCATTACATGCGTATATTAACAATTCATTTCATGAAATTTGATGTTATTTATATCTCTATCTTCCTTCAAATAAATATCGATAAAAATTAATTTAAAAGTTTAAAAATTATTTTGTATAAATTTATCACGCAAAATTGCTTAATGTTTCATCCAGTTTACAACTACATTTAATATCACTAACGAAATCATTATATTTTAACCGCTAACGAATACGCCTTTCCTCAGAGCTTCCTGTGGATTGAACGCCGTTAACTATTTATGAAATGGTTCGATCTATTTCCGCTACCTACCATATCTATGACATCTGTTTTGGAGGTTCGTTTAATTCAACGAAATATGCAAGTGCAAGGACAAAAATATTTTATCTCTATTAAAGTAACATATCAATGATAATAACTTTTTTGTAAATTTTTTTTAACGATATTAATATATTTGAAAATGTTATAAATATTCATCTGCACAAATTGAATCAAGTAAAATCTATTTTTTAACGAACAAAAAAATTATAAATTAAAATTACTCGTAATAAATCGTAATAAAATAATTTTAACAAATCAATTTCTTTTCATTTCTGTACACATTTTCAAAGTTATCATTTTAACATTATTGCTCAAGATCAATATAAACTATCAATTGTAATCATATCAATATCAAAATATTTGTACAAGTAGTTTCGAAACGTTTACTTTACTTCACACCATCTTGAATAGAATATCATCTTTCTGAATTTCTATTCGACTGCAACGTCTATATAAAACGATATAATAATTAATGAGAAAATAAAATAAAAATATTTATCCGATATTATAAATCGATACCAATTGTATTAAACAGTATAAATTTCGCAAATTTCTCGTGATTAATCATAAAAAAAAAAAAATCATATTAATCTGATTTGTATTTATAATTATTTTATTCCACACCTTTTTTATAAAAAAAAAACTGAAAGAATAGAAATGTCACCATTTCTCCGAAATTATATCAATTATTAATTAACAATCGTATATACAGACCATCTAATTTTATCATTGAAATTCTATCATCAAAATTATTCATTCTAAAAACACAAATACTGAACGAAATAGTTCCTTCGTTCTTCTCCGAATTAACAATACCAAATTTTCTTTTAGATTTATTTTCTTATTTTCTTATTAACACAAATTACTAAAAAAAAAAAAAAAAAATGACAGCACGTTTCTTGCACGACGACGTTTCTTCCTCTACGATTCACAACGAGAACGCGTAACACGCAAGATCGGACAAAAGTACGAAGCGAAAAAAAAAAAAGAAAAAAGGAAAAAGAACACATTATCGATACGCGATATATATTTATAATGAACGTTCGCGCATTTGATCCGCGCAAATAAACTTCGAAAATCTAGGAGGCTGGGCAAAGGTAAAGGTAATTATAAAAGACTGACGCACCGGTTCGCTCAGGCCTGTAACGAGCCGCGTGGATCGTTGTCACGCTTAGGTTACGGCTCACAGTGCGTATCGGTGTGAATATATCGAATAAATCAGGATGAGCGGTCGCGTCCATCGGAATCGCGGCACAAAGGGAGGCTGGAAATAGCGAGTCCAGGGAGAGAAGGAATCTTATCGGTCGTTGGACATAATCGGCATACACGATCGTGAACGATACGTACGATTACCTCGTACGTATAGAGAAACAAGGTGGCTAGCCCACCATGATTGGCCAACCGGTCCTCTCTCTCTCTCTCTCTCTCTCTCTGCGTCGTCTTGAGTCCTTGGAGCGTGAACGGAATAGCCATCGGTGTGCACCGGAAGCTCGCAGCAAAGCTCTCCCTCCCCTCCTGCTCTAGAAAAGAGGGTATCCCTGTAGCAGGTTCTGCGGTAGCGTGGCAAGGGTCGCCAACGCCGTGGAAATAGAAGAGAGAGAGAGAGAGAGAGAGAGAAGAGGAGGAGGAAAAAAAGGTAGAGAGGAAAAAAAAAGGAAGAAGAAGCGGGATAACAGGGTGAGAGAAGAGAAGAGGATGACGAAGGCGAGGGGAAGGAGAGGGAAGGGATGGAAAATGGAGGCGGGTAGGGTGAGATGGGCGAGAGGGATTGGTGGAGTGAAGGGGATGAAGGAGGATGGCAGATAAAAGGGTAGGAAGAGAAACCGATCGTCGGTAGAGGGTTGAGTTTGGTTTGGTGGTGGCAGTGGCGGTGAGGAGAACAGTGTGGCCGGACTGTAGGAGAGAGGGGTGGTATTATATTTGCGCAGGGCCGCCCGATAGGGCGCAGTATCGTCGCGACCGCCGTCGCGTGCACGTCGATTTTCTGTGCGTTTACGTATATACCAGACCGCGAGTGCGTCTGCACCGAGAACATCGTTCTCCCTCCTTGTCGGTCGTATATACTTTGACCGGCCTCCTCTCGTATACCCCTATTCTTCTCTCCTTCTCTCTATCTGTCCTTCTCGCGTTCTGTCTCCACCTCCTCCATATTCGCTCCTCTCTTTCTGTATCTCGCTCTCTATTCTTCTCCTTTCTTCTCTCTCTCTTTCTTCCCTTTCTCTCTGTCTTTCTTTCTCTGTCCGTCTCTCTCTCTTTCTTTTTCTCTCTTCCTCTGACGTTATTGGCTCTCGCTCAGTCTTTCCATTCCATGCGTATCCCTCCGTGCTACTCTCCTCGATGTTTCGCGCGTGATCGTGCCCACTGTTATAGTTCGCGTTCCGCGAGACACGTATGATCCGAACGAACTATAAACAACAACAGAGATCGCGAAAGTCGAGAGCGAATCCTCGAGCAGGAGTCGTTAAGTGTTCTTGGCCCAAGAGTGAGTAGAAACAAAAACAAAAAAAAAAAAAAAAAAGAAAAAAGAAAAAAAGAAAAAGAAAAGAAAGAGTGTTGTTCACGTGACCATTGGTGTGTTAGTTTATGTTCTTTTGCACATTGTCTCCGAATACATACAAAATAAAAGAAAGGATCTTCTTCTTCGTTTACTTCAACCTAACCTCCCCGATTATATCTCACCCCTATTGCACGGCCCCCACACTCCAAGTGACTTTTCGACGTTCACGCAACGCGCGGCCTGTCTCGCGTTAATTCGACGGATAACACCGAGAGGTTGGGCTTCTCGGTGCACGAATAATTGCCGGTAATTGCCGCCGGATTGTTTTCTGGGGGGAAGGGGGTGGTGGAATCTCATCTCGAGCGATGGAGTAACGAGAACCAACGGAATAAATACGCTCGTTTTCGCCCCCAAACCCGTGATAATAAAGGGTGAATCACCGTCCAAGCAAATGCTAGGACCTTTGCCGAACAACCGATCTTAGCTGGCTGTTTTTGCGTTGCGTGAAAAGTCTTTGGAAAATAGGGACCAAATCTCGGCGACGTGGACCTCGAGATTGGAACGATATCAGGTGGGTATATGTCGTTGTAAACTCGTTCCTTAACCACCTATGTTTGTTTTTTTTTTTCTCTTCTTTCAATCTTTGATCGTTTGTCCGAAAGGCTCCTTCTCCTCTTCCTTTCTTTTATCAATCTATCAAGTTTGCTTTCGATTTTATTTACAATGCTCTTAAATCTACTCTCTATCTTCTTGAAATTTCTATGCTGTAAGTAACGATAGAAATTGGAAACATTTCTTCATAAATCGTTTTCTTCATAAATTTTTATTGCGTTTGAAAGCAAACAAGTTTGATAAAGATATTTTTTTTTGGAAATTGTATAATATTTTTAAAATTTTTACTACATATAAACAACTAAGTGTATATATATATATATATATATAATAGGAATGTTTATTGTTTCTATAATCGTTGCTATAATATTTTATCTCACAACGTTGATTCAGCTTCATCGTATTTTTTGTATTTTAATTAAGATCAGGTATGCAAATGAAGCTAATTTAGAGTGGAATTAAAGTTTTTATTACTTCGCGCTAGGTGTAAAGGGAATTGATTATCCCTTGAGTCAGTTTTTTTTGTTTTTATTTGTTCGAATTTCTTAATATAAAAATTTCTTCTAACGCTTGAAAACGCTTGAAAATTTCCATTTCATTTTATTTAAAATAAGTACAAATTTTTCGATCCGAGATATAACTCCAAATCAACTTGTAATTTTATCGATATTTCTAGTAGTCATTATTAAAAATCACTATTAGTATATAATCACCATTATTTCGTAAATAAAGAAAGAAGCAATTAAATTAACAATCTCTATTCATTATTAACGTTAAATTTTTATTCATGTTCGTTCAGGATTATAGAATTATAATATACAAACTATTTATTCATATACCATTTCCATTAAACTTGTACGTTATATTTTCGCAATTAATACTGAAAATTGCTCAGCTCGAATAAAGTTGCTACTCTACTCTCTTCGTAACATTTAATTTATTACATGTAACTACATGTACAGATATTATACAAAGTTTGTAATTACCTCGTAAGCAGCTAATGCTTTATCAATACGGATAAAACACGTATTTTCCAAAGAATTAAAAGTTTATTTGTACGAAAATTAAAAATTCTTTTCGAAAGATTTTCAAATTCAATCGAGTTATTATTTTTCGTATCTACGATTTCGATATTCGAAGAATTTTATTGTTGAAATCGTCAATTTAATAATTTCTAAAAAAAAAAAAAAAGAAAAAAGCGAAAAAACTTTGTTCTAACTCGTTGGCATAAAAGTATATCGAATATATCGAAAAGCAATATTTTTTTATATCTGTTTCGTCGAACAAAGAGAATCAGAAGAAGATTTCGCTCTAATTATCTAGAAATAAGCTGATGAAGTCGTGGGGCACGATGAACAGTGTATAAGTCTACAAGAGAGAAATTCGATTTTCGCGGTAACGTGATACTATTGTATGCGAACTATCTCATTGTCCAAGTTCGATTCAAGTCCGCCCTCGAGTATTGTCCAATTCTATACACGAGGATGTAACATCTTGAAAGTCAATAGAGTCGAAGACATTTTTGCCGCGATATTTAAATCGATGATCGCATTAACCGAGTAGCGGTGGAATATTAATGAATCCTTTAAATCTACTTTTATCGTGTTTTTTTCTCTGAATTCCTAAATTTCTCTCCAACACATTGTAAATATTTTTAGTATCTTCCTCGAATACGTTACGCATTAGAGGAACAATAAACAGGGTAGAGAATTGGGTTAGAAACTTTATCGAAATAAACTTTCGTTCATATAATTTATTTCGCGAGTAAGATTTATTTCGAAAATAATTTTATCTTTAAATAAATTTATTTTTGCTACTTTATTCGAAACAATTATTTATCCTTTTGTTTGTTATTTTTTTCTTTTATTCGTTGCTACGCTTAAAATTTTCCATGATGTTTTATAATAAAGATCGATGATATATATTACATTATGTCCACATGATTATTATATTATATCGATAACAGGCATACAATACATGCCACGTAACCGTTATATCGTTATGGAATATTATTCATAGTAAATTCACGTTCGATCATTAATAATAATATATAATCATAAAATCTTTTTGTTAATGATAAATAATTTAACGAATTAATAAATTATCAGAATATATAAATTCCACTCAAATAAATGATTTTAACTAGTAATATTAAATGAATTAAATAGAAAGCGACACGCACAATCTGATTTATTTCCTTTCTCCCCGCAATTTCTTCGTGAAATTTTACACATTTTCGAAAGTCGTGCGAGCATTCTGTAATATTGATTTCAATTTTCTTAGGCTCTCGCGAAGAGTAGGTGTCGAATGGTATAAGGAAAGAGAAAAAGCAAGAGGTAATAGAAAGAAGCCTTTGTTTTCGTATATTCAGGCACGATGCCGTCAAATTCGCGTATTTCACTCGATATCTTTGATCCCGGCTTTCAATCTTTAATCGCGTGTTATATCTACCTTGCACAGAAAATACGTATATACATAGGGGAAGTTATTCTTTATCGAAACGAAAATAGAAAAAAAAAAAAAAAAAAAAGGTAACACCAATTCTCTTCTTCTTCCCTTTGACATAGAATTTTTCATGGAAAAAAGCAAAAGCTTGTTAATTTCTCTCTCTCTCTCTCTCTAATTTCCATTTTTTTTTCCATTCTATTATTGCGAAAAACGTGTATTTCGTATTTTTCATAAATATTTATTACACGAATGAACATTAAGAAAAAGTTTAAACGATATTTTATCTCGTATATTAAATACTCTTTTAAACTCTCTAACTCTTCTTGTTATCAGTATTTATCGTCCGATAAGATTTGTAATTCACGTGAGTTGGAAGATAACGGTGGAAATATATATTTGCAAAGTGTTTTAATTATGAGAATGAATCTACAGTGACTTTATAAAGGGATTAAAAAGAAAATCACAATTAAGAGATCAAGATTATCCGCCTATTTTATCGCGCCAATGATTAACACGTTTCGACGCATAAAATGCATTAACACGCGAACGAATTTTTGACTCTTCCTAAAATTTGCATAAAGTGGAAATCTTAAGCTGATTTAACTCGTTCTAACCTATTTTATTTTTTTTCCTTCTTTTCTTTTTCCATTACAACAAATTAAATCAAACGTAATCTACATAAAATTTTAAACGATGCAAATTATTTTTGTTTAGGAATTAGAAAGGTTCATTATTTTCATTATCTTTTAACGAATTGTGAATGGAATAAATTGCAATTGTTAAATGCAATGATTCCTTGATTTGCACAATGTCAAGTTCTTAATTAAAGTTATATATGCAATGTTAAATAATGTTAAATTTTCGTACACATAGCATAGCTTTCTTATTAAATAGTGGGTAAATGCACTTTAAGTATTTCTCTCTTATGACCACTCACGAAAAATTTCAACCAACTTTTTGTCACAATGAATATATCTTTTCCCACAAAGGCGGTGATTTTAATTTTATGACACGTGGCAATTCACTTTTTAATTAAAACTAAAGCTTTTCTTCTGACCTTATTTTCATACCATTGTATCCAGGCACGCATGTGAACTAGTTTGTAATTTCGTTAATAACACTTCCCTAAGGAAGAAATTATGGACTAGGGACACGCAATACTTTTACCAAGAAAAGCATTTGAAATAGAGGTTTTAGTGAATTAAAACGTTTTCAGGAAGCGCTCGCGGTATTTTAATTTATTTACTTTATGACAATTTCGATTTAAACGAAAAATATAATTCTCATAATATATATTAATGCATTTACCTTGGACAATGTGTTACTAAATGACAAGAAAAGTTTTATAGATATTTTATTCCATAGATATCTATAGTTAAAGCATGCATGTATGTATCTATAATTAAAAATATACATATGGATGATATAAAAGTTTCTGAACATAAGCGTATAAAGTTTCAAGAGAAGTTTCCACTAAACTAAAATGGCAACGTTATGTTATAAATAAATAAATATGCGTCTTCATCTCTATGCGTTTCCATTTATCGTTCCATTACGTATCAACTTCAACGAAATAACGCGTCAAAATCCTTTCTTTTAATCCTCACCAATGTTCATACACGCCCATTTCGTTCGATATTTCGCTCGTATAACACGATATACCGTGATTCGATACATTAATTAAAACATGAATATTTAAACGGCCGGAAGTACTCGGGCCATTATTTTTATATTCGATTAATAAAATCCAATATATCGATTAATAAATCGTTAGATTGGATAAATCAAGGGATTAACGCTGTCGCATCGTGACTATTTTTTTTTCCCCCACTCGTTAAATTATTGCCATTAAAACAACAGATAAATCGAGTCATAAATTTTCCGTCACATTCATTTCGTATTTCAAATTCTTTGGTATCGTCCGT